CTGCGGGGCGGCTTGCCCTCCGTTAGCCCGTGCCGTACAGCACCTGGCAGTAATTGCTCGTTAAACCCTCCGCAGAGCTTCGTAATGACGCGGGGAGGTTGGGACTGGGGTGGAAGAACAGGACAAATGTTAAAAGCCATGATGCCTCGGTTGTGTAGCTGAGCTACCAGCTACGGCTAAAAAAAAATCAGCAGAGATCCTCGTGAGATTTTTGCACTGTGGTAAATACAAATCCTTCCTTGTCGAAAGAAGCCATCTATTGCGCTACCCTGAATTGGTTTAGTGGTGGGCTTGGTAGTATTAGCTTAACGATTGGACTCGATGATCTTAAAGGTCGTTTCCAACCTAAACAACTTTATGATTCTGTGGACAGTTTGGGATGTGCCTTTGAGGAGAGATCAGGGCCAGTTGCACGTTATCATGTGTTCAGCAAAAGTCAGAAGCAAATTTACCTTACAAGTGAAGGATCTGTGTGCAACTATGTATTAAACTGTGTGATTTACACAGTGGTTTTGGCTATTTAAGGAGATGTTCTTGTCGTTCTGTGGAATTTTGCTTTTTTGTTTCTGGTTTTGAAAGCCATATGTTAAGAAATTTAAGATTTCCAGAGCTGATCGAGTACCTTTTTTAACACTAACCTGTACTCTCAGAATATGTATCCTGGGCTGGAACATCATATAAGATCATTCTCTTCAAAAATCCTCCCCCACGACTCAGCCTGTTCAGCTTACATTGCCACGTTACACGTGCTCTTATCTGTTTACGTTTCCAACGTCATAAAAATACAGGCTCTTCTATCTTTAAATGATAATATAACACCACATTCCTAGTGCACTAGCACAGCCTTACTCTCAGGAGTGTCTGTCTAAAAGAAAAGAAAAAAAAAAAAAGGAACTGTGTAAAACACATGGATTGTGGTCCTTCTGTTATAATCTTAATCTTCTCCATGTTTTATTGTACGTTGGCTGTGCTGTAGCCAGTAAGACTGCAGCAGGTAGTGTTAGTTTGCTGTATGAAGCAGTTACGTTTGCCTGCGGTGCTGATGAGTGTTGAAATGCGAGCATGCCTTGGATAGTACGCATCTTCACTGAAGAAAATAGCTTATGGCTATGTATACAAGTCGCTGTAGTGCAGTCCACGCAGCGTGAAGTTGTTCTGCTTCTGTAGGTAGAGGAGCAGAAGCTGAGGTGGGATGTGCTGAGGAGCAAGGGCAGACAGAGTGGGAGCTAGCTGATGCTCTCAAGGTAGTTGGAGCCAGAGCTCCATTTGGACGCTGTCTGAATTTAAACTTCAGTGGTTGTGATTGGGTAACAACGTGGGCTTTCATAAATCTGGGGGGAAAGAGGAGGGAA